TTTATTTGTTTCAATTAATGGGTAAATGTACATAAATTTTATTTTATTTATTTTTTTCAGAAAAGAGAACGTATCATCATTCTACAGTTATGCGTGATTCACAAAATAAAAGTCAATATGCCCATAATATCCAAGTGACTTCACAAAGGATGACATTATCTGATATCACAAAAAGTAAATACTTTATTATTTATTTTACAAGGATGTTTTTAATAATATATGATTGATTTCGTGACGAAACAATCCTTTTATTTTTTTTTCCAAATGTTTCTACGTATTATAATTCTTTCGATCCTAATGATTATGAAATATTATATTATATTATTCTCCTAAATTCTCTAAAATTATACAGCCCCGTGCATCGCACGGGTACTGTACTAGTAAATATAAAAAGGTTTGGTATTTACCTAAAAAAGTAATTATTTTCCCGCTTAAAAATTTTAGACTTACTAAACTAAGTAATTTTTTTGAAAATTTTTCGAAAATCCCGCTCAAACATACTTTGAAAATTTTCATTAAAAATTTAAAGTCTAATATTTAAAGAAACCATATTTATTTTGGTATATAAAATCGAAATTTTTTGGTATATGATATCAAATTTAAACGGATAGATCAATTTATTTTTGGTATATGAACTCAAATTTTGGTATGTCAAATCAAATCTTAATGGACCGATTAAGTGGAAACTCAAATTTTTGGCATATCAAATCTTAATGGACCAATCTCTTCCAAAATTTTTGGGTGAAATTTGAAATTAACCGATCAAAATAAAATACAAACCAATTCTCTAATTAGGTTCCCAAAAGAAAAAAATGGGCACGGCGGAAATCCATTGGGTCTTCTCCATGCTCGATGAACGGCGATGACAACATCAGCCGGAAGGAGCTCAACAATTCGCTTGAGAATCTCGGGATGTGCGTGCCGGAGGAAAAGCTACGAGCGATGATTGGGAAGATTTATGTCGACGGGGACGTCCATTTAGACGCTGAGGAGTTCGGCACCCTGTATACTGTGGTGATGGCAAACGCCGGAGGCGACGAGGGGGATGACGGTGAGGAGGACGTGCGGGAGGAGTTTACGGATTTTTTTCCATCAGGACAAGGTGGGTTTATCACGGCGGATGAGCTGAGGTTGTGACGGCGGCGCTGAGGCTGAAGTAGGTGAAGATGCCGGAGGAGTACTG